TTTGGAGACAAGGTCTTGCCCTGGAGTCCAGGGTGACCTCGGCTCATGAGCCTCCTGCCTTGGCACCCAGCATTTGGGACACTGCCTGCCAGGGGAACTGTCATTTTCTCCTGGCTGGATTTGCAGGTCACTTGCCTGGTGTCTGATCCCATGGGGATTAGAGAGTCTGCTAGGAAGCATTATTTGGTGGGGTGCACAGGGCTATAAGGGAAACAGTTTCCAGCCCACTTTGCTGTACATGACCAGGTCCTAGAGTGCACACGCTTTCAGTTTGCCATCAACTGGCTCCTTTCTCCATTTTTAATCCATGCCTTATATTTCTCTAAATAACCCACTAAAGAAAAATGCAACTGAGAACTCAGTGCTGAAGCCTCCCCCCGCCGGCCCCCCCCCCCCCCCCCCCCCCTTAACCGCCAGGACTGAACTCAGCAAAAGAAAAAAAAAAAAAAAAAGCAAATAAATAAAGAGCTTGTTTGGCAGGAGAGCATCAGGCAGCAGGCCGTGCCCTCATCAAGCCAGAATGACACAGAGGGTTCCAGAATGATCTGGAAGGCACTCTCTGCTTGTAGTTAGTCCCTTTCCTAGCAAGGAAAAGAGTCCTTGCAAAGCGTCTCATTTCCAGAGAAGGTACACACCATGGTGGGACTCATAAATGCCTCTTTAAAGAGATCTTGTCAAGAACACAGTGGGGACACGCTGACCCCAGAGAGACCCAGCACAAGGGTGAGAGGTCAGAGAAAGCCTCCCTTTTTGTGTTTTGTTTTTTGAGCCTGACTTTTCCTGTTAGCTTATGATATCTCCCTGGGGGATTTGAACTCCAAACACAGGGTTTGGCATCTTCGGTGATTTTCATTTCAATGAAGCTGTGTTGCTGAGAGAGCCAGCCCCCGCCTCCCGTGGTGACCCACCCAAGGGAACTTTTTAGCCAAGCCCTCTGTAAATACTCTCCTGTAGTAATGGAAACCATGTATTTATCGAATCCGGGCCTTGGCTCGCACGCCGCCGCCGTTCATTTGAGTGCGCTTCTCCATTGCCCCGAATTTGATGGGGTTGTTTTTAAATGCCTGTTTTTATATGAGGTTTGGCTTCCTGATGGACATTTGTATTAGGATATTGAAGCATGCTAGCTGTGTCTCTATTGTCTCCACTGTCTCTGCTGTGCTGTGACTTGGACTGCATAAGATAGTGGGATGGGCTTTCTGTTGGTGATGTTATTGCAAAAAAGAAAAAAAAAATCCACAACTTCCACAGCGTGTGAAGCACTGGCTCTGTCCCTCCCTTCATCTCCCACTTTCCCCTGGCTGCCAAGGAGCATTGGTTTTGATTCGCTTCTATGCAGAGTCTGTGAAGAGGGAAAGAGAGGGAGAGAGGCTTTGAAATAAATTTTAAAAGGACCTCATACTGGGTTTCAGCCGTGTGTGTGTGTGTGTGTGTGTGTGTGTGTGTGTGTGTGTGTGTGT